CACTCACTGGATAATGTCTGTGATCAGTGACTTCTTACTTCCACAGACCTGTGCATATGTTTGTAATTTATTTATTTAAAACATTTATTAGCCACCTTTTTTCCTTGCAGAACTCAAGGCAGCTTAAAATATAAATAAAACATTATAAAAACACAATAAAAACAACTATTACCATGTTGCTATTTACACAGTTCTTTTCTAGGAATGAAACCGTGCAAATAGTTTTGAATTATTCCAAGGCACTTTCTACTCATTCCAGAGTCTAAGTAAAGGATTTTTAATTTTTTACAAATAAATGAGGGTGTGAGAAAGAGGTAGATGAGACACAGGAAATGGTTTTTTTTTTCAACCTTATCCAGGACATTGGCCTTGTTTATCTGTCCATGGAGAGTTACAGAGTTCTTTCCAAACATCTCTCTTCTGAGTCTTTGACCTCTAATCCCTGTTGCTTTTTCTCCTTTCCCTCCACTTTCCTTCTGTGTCCTTTCCTCATAATCTTGTCTACCAATTTATATGGGGTTTGTGCATTGTTATAAAATTACTGGATCATACTGATGCCAATGCCCAAAGGGTGCTAAGGTTCTTTGACTTGTGTGGCTAGCTGATAAACCACACAGTTAAAACAATCATCCAGGCAGTAAAGGGTAACAAAATAATTTATTTGAATAAAGGAACACCTAACAGCTTGTAGATTTTCAATGTATTACAGCTGGGAGATTGCTTATATGCTCTTCTTGCTCCTCCTCACTTTACATCATCACTGACATCATTTAGACATGCTCAGTTCAGATTTCTTTCTCTGGTCATCAATCACATATTTGACACACAGGATGTTACTTGGCCGCATCTCAACTCCTACAATGCAGGTGCACTGCTCATTATGTTGATTTATATTTCTTTTGGCTGTTTTCCTAGACTCCCTTCACCTTTGAATGAATTCTCAAGCTGAGTTCATTTTTAGTACAAACTTAGATGTTTTCATTAAAAAAATGGTTCTTTCACATTAATACATGCATATAAAAGTATAAATATTCTTAAAGTATTTTTTAAGCTTATTTTCACTAAAAGGTATACAAAATATGAAAACATATATAATTACAATGACATTCTAAAGAATTAAACCCTTTACATGAATTCTTTTAGTGTTTTCAAGTAGTCTATGGTATAAAGTAGCCTATGGCCTGGCGTGATGTGGTCCATGAGGTCACAAAGAGTCGGACTCGACTGTGCGACTGAACAACAACAAATGGTATAAAGCTCTTGTAGTTCCACTGAATCTATCAGTTTTTATTTTGGTCCATCAGAATATTTTTTGATAATTTTATAAAGCCATTTTTGTCTAAATTAAACTATTAATTTGTAAAATACACCACCTTATTTTAGCCAGCAGACGGTCCTCTTTTATAATACAAGTTCTACATTTTTAATTGACCCTTTTAATTGGCTTTCAGGTGTGCATGATTTATTATTTTGTTTTCTTAAACCTTTTGGAACATCTCCCAACTTTTTGCTTGTTAGTCCTTTTAACTTAGCTTCTTTAGTTGACCTGTCCATGATTAATGTCTTCCATTTTGGCTGGGCTCCCTACACACCTGGTCAGCCCTTGGTCATTTTCTAACTCTTCCTCTTGTCAACAGCTTGTTAGCTTTAAATCCCTTTCATTATTAGAAAATTAAAACCTTAATTAGTTTTCTTCTTTTTCATTAAACATACAAAAACATTTTATCCATAAGCTTTCATTCTCAGCTATAAACATTCAGAGATATTTACTCTTTTAACAATTATTCTTTGCTATAAAAGCACCTTAAAAATTTAGATCTATTTTACATGGAAAGTACAACTGGACTTCTATTCAGCCATATTAATTTTGACATCCTTAGCTTGTGGATCCTTGCCAGGTCAGTTTTAAGTGTATAAAAAACATCTTGACCAATTAAAAAGTCCCACTATCAATCTTAACTCTGACAATTAATTATTATAGCGCTTAATAATAATAATAATAATAATAATAATAATAATCTTTCAATTTATTAATCGCTCAATCCTGCAGAGCTGCTGGCTCTGAGCGATTTAAAGTTACTCAATTCATGGGGGTAAGGGAGGACAACATATATAAATCTTTAAATCGCACACATTCGCAGCCAACAGGGATTTTGTTCAGCTGTAGACTAGACATGTTCCAGCCGGCACTTTTTTCCCTCGGCTTGGCTTGATGATGTCAGCTTTCTCCAGGTCTGATTCGAGTCGCAACGCTGCACTGCCACCGCCTGGCTGGAATAGCCCATTACAGGCTTCTTGATGCCGAAGAGATCTTTCTAGGCTTCTGATCTTACGAGCTGGACATTCCGTTCGCCGGCTAACACCTCCCTCACCCGGGGGTTTAGTGTGCCCACTCTCTCTAAGGAGTGGTACCCATTTTATCTACTCGCCAAAGCTTTTGAACCGCTGGGTGGACGGCGAGATGGGGACAAGGCTGGTAGCTCACACCAGCACGGGGCTAGAACTGGCAGCCCTTCTGTTCAGCTCAGATGTTACTATAACCAGAGGATAAATCCCCTGTGCTTGTAAACTCCAATAGTTCAATATTAATATGTTAGAGTATTCCAAACTGGAGGAAAGAGAAGCCTCTTTGATGTTTCCTCATTTAAAACTACTGAAAATCAGAAGCTGAAATAAACTTCTGAAATCATTCTCTGAAGTAGGGAGGTTCTCATAAATCTCCACCTATGATGGGTCCTAATTGAAAACTGGCTAAACTAACCAGGCAGAGACACCTGCAGTTAGCTCCCACTTTTTTCTTTATAGTATAAGTATAAATAAATAAATAAAGTATAAATCATAAATCTTGGACTCCGAGAATTCATCCCAATTAAAAAGTCTGACACAAGAACATCAATCTTCACTTATGACAGCTGGGATGGTCATACCAGTTTAGTTCAAAGGATGATATAAAAACACCTGGCCCAATTAAAACATTTTTGCCGTCAATTAAATTTGAATTAAAACACCTGTATTTACAACTGTACTTAGTGGCTAACAGTTCAATTCTCCAGGAGAGTCCCAAAGACATTTTCCCAAAGGTTTCCTGGAAATGAACAATAATCAATAGAAAATCATTTGAACCCTTGGTATCCCATACAGTACCTAGTTGTTGACATGAGTGAGTGCTTTATAATTATAATTTATCCCACCCAGGCCTCCCACATCCTTTCTCTTGTACGTGTGTCTCTCTAACCTTATCCATTTCTTGGCTCCCTTGCCTTGTTCATGAGGAGGCTCTTTGAGGAATGAGTGGAGTCAGCCAATTAGAGAAGCAACTGCCCACCACTTCCATGGCAGGGCTGCTGGTTTCT